TCTCTCAACTGTTTTTATTTGTATTTTGTTGCGAGAGAGTTCGGGCGCATTTATACAAATCCTCAGCGCTTCTAATTTATGGCACTTAATTAAAGGGCTTGCCGCGTTATCAGCGGCAAAACTAGTCCTTTTCGGGTGTGACCCGCCCAGTGGCTCCGAATTTTTATACTTTTCGTGGCACCGCAGCTTCTTAATTGCTTTAGTGCAGAGCCCAATTAGAAAATTATTGCTGCATCGAATTTGTTGCTTGTTATCAAAAACGTTCTTCAAAATTAAGAAAATGGTTTTTTCCCAGATAAGATTTCAACGTCACGTATACGAGGAAAGTAGTGTCCTCTGATTCTCTTTCCCCGAAATCAACTCAATCCTACATTTCCTGACGTCGCGTCTGCACAATTGAGCAATTTGTCGAAATAATAATCTCTCCGCGCTTTGTCTAAATCATACAGGACGAAAAAGCCAAAGTTCAGCGAATACAATATTTCATGCACAATGGCACAAGCTATAGCAATGATTTGTGAAAGAAAGATGAGTATCAAAATGGCACGAATGATTTATGTGATTCTTTATAAGGGAATTTTATTTTTGTGCAATTCCAGTGGATTTCCTTTATCTCTCGTAGAAACGTCAATCGATTGTCATTATTTGTTGATTTTGGTATTCTTTCAAATCGATAAGTATTTTTACCGGTGATAAGCAGCCCAGATTGTGATTATATTTCTTAATATAGAAATTGTGTAATTCAAAATAAATCTAGAAAAAAATAAGGTGACTGGAGTCAATGGGGCGCAGAGTTGTTGCTGTCAACTTTCTGGACGCACAATAAGGAAAAGATGCACCTAGGAACTAAAAATAGGCGTGCTGCTACCACATGTGCGCTTCCTCGCAGATGTTACACTTTTTATTGTTGATGCTGCTCGTCGGTCTGCTCGCACGTGTTCTCCAAATTTGTCTTAAAATAGCTGACAGTGAGCAGGAAAAGAGCGTCGTCGCACGTAATTGTTGCGGTGCGGCACATGGTCGGTCCCATTGCGATTATCCTGGCGTAAAGTAAATCGCGTCAAATACAAACCCAACACAGCGGCCGCCTCTGCGGAAATTTCGGACATAAAAACGTCAGATAAATTTTTTCGCCGCAGAAGGTTCAAAGACAACGAACGCTGCATAACTGACTGGCAGATTTCCAGCCATTTGATACTTTTGTCTGGCTCATGCGAAGTTAAAAAGACGATAGATTTCTGCGATACTATATGTATGTGCGGCTGAGACAGAAAAGTTTGAAGCAGTTTTGTTTTTATCCTGTGAAAATAACAAACCATAAACTCTTCAAAACAGCAGCTAGTGTGAAATCTTCAAATAACTTTCATTCTCACGCAGTCAGTTTTCCTTTGGTAATTTGCCTTAATTTATTTTATTACTATACATGTACTAAAATTATTAAAAATGAAAAATAATGTTTTAACAATAAAATGGAATCAATTTATTGCAAATAAAAATTAGAATTGCATATTTTTTAATAATAAATAAATTATAATGTCTCACAGACTAAAACTCGCTGAAAATTTATCATAATTTTGTAAATAAAATTTAAAGAGCTCACTTAGCTTTTTAAACAATACTGATGTCAGTCAAGAGATTGGCAAGAATGAATTGGAAACCAGTTTCAAGTGAGACACGCAGAGTGCACCGCGTCAGTAATGAAGTGCAGCATGCGAATTTCAGCATTGACCTCGTGACACAAAGGTGGCTGCTTATCGTGTCGAACAATGCGTTTGCTGTGAGAAATCGGCCCATAATGGCCCCACAGAGGAGAATAAATCCTCACTCAGCCTCCTCCTCCTCCTCATTCTCCAGAGAGAGCATCTCCATTCATGACTCTGTGAGAAGTGGGATATATTCTGAAAACGTCTCTTCCTTTTACACGAATATCCACCGCCTTTTATTTTGAATTCATAATTTATCCCTATATTGTTCTTTTTTTGCTTGTGTAGACGAGCGAATAAAAGAGAGGGTTATCTAGGCACTCGTGTGGCAACGCCAATTACGTCATTTCTGGAGTACGCCGCACAAGGGAGTGCCCTGTCAAGTAACCTAATACCGTTGCGGCGGATTTTTATACGTACGAAAACTGCACCAACTTCTTTTTGCCGGCGTCGAGAGAAAAAAGAAACAAAACTCACTTTCAGCAGCGCTGTCTTGCGAGGAACACGTTTCTTTTCACCTCTCTGTGCGTCTTAGCTGCTTATTTTGCTGATGCGAATTTTAAATTTCTGCAATTGTGAGGTGGATTTTCGGTTTTGATGCATTTTGCAAACAGCTGAAACGTAAACCTTTGTTGGTGCAGGTTCGGTAGAAAGTAGGTCGAGTTCAGTTGAAAAAAGGCGCACGGAGCTTTAAGTTTTTGCTTTTGTGGAATGCGACTCGCACTGTCTACGTATTCTAATTACATCCAATCCTATTCCAGTTCGCTTGTTTTCTCCTCAAGCACTACAAACTTGGATTTTATCTGTTTAAGTATTGAATTTCAAATGACCATTAAATTTAACTTGCACATTCAAACTTATTATTGTTATTATTCAATTTTATAACAAAATTTTTTAATTTTTATTTAATCTTTATGAATATTTACGTAAAATTGGCCTATAAACCAAAAAAATATTTCCAGAGATTTACAAAAAATTATCGTGGATGAGTACTTCCATTTTTTTTCATTCTTGTTGAGTTCTCGGTCATTGTCTAGCTTGTGTAACTAATTTTTGCCTAACAAGAGTAAATTTAATTAGCACGCCAGTTATCACTGGTCTGGTACTCAAAGGCAAAAGCCGTGAGTCAATTGCCATTAGGTTGGAAAATATACGAGGCGGGTCTTTGAACCGACCGTCGCGCATATTGACAGCTCACCGAAAGTATACAGAGAAAAATGATTTCGCAACGTCACAACTTTGGCTTAATTCGTATAATAACCCTCTCCGCTTCTGCCCGTCTGTCAGTTTACTTTTTCGAGTAGCTGCTGCTGCTTGGCAAACAAACTCGCAAAATCTCCGCGCATGTGATGATTTGCTTGCTTTTGTTGTGACTGCGAGCGTTGGAGGCTTTCGGTTGCCAACCATTTCGCAAGGACCCAAAGCAGGCGTCATTTTCGCACTCTGCGTCAAGCGCAGATTTGTTTGCTCACGAGACGAGTGGGTGTTCAATTATTTTTACCGCTTACTAAGCGAGAAGTCATAAATTTTAGCTTGGATTGGCGAGGCGCTGATTTTTGCACCGGAGGACTCAAATAAAATAAAAACTAGATTCAACGATCACTAGCCATATCACGATCTATGAATGACAGTTCGATTTGCATAATTACGTCGTGCTCCAGTAATTTCCCCGTGGCAACAAAGCTCTGCTTCCCAAACCAAGAATTTTTCGACCGGATTTTCTGCATTTCTACCAAATTGTTTTCTCCTTGAAATATGCTCGCGAATTGAAGTTCGATGAGCTCCGTTTATTTGATTTCGCACGCGCAAGAGAGGGAGAGGGGCTTTCGGCGTGCTGCATGACTTCTCAAAACTGTTGACCCAGGCTCATTGGGCCAATTTAATTCAATCAATTGGGAGTGTCTTGCCATCCATTCAGCAACAAGCCGAGTTCGTTTGCAATCAATCATCTCTTATCGGTCCGATTACCCATGCAGAATGGGCGACTCCTTTATTTGCAAATTGGTCATTGTTGCAGACTTAATTACTCTCTTTCAAGCGCTGTGTTTATTTTGCATCGATCGCCATGGTGGCTCGTCTGACCTCTGAATTTAGAATAACGTGAATATTCAATTTCTGCCCATTTAGAAAAGAGAAAATGAATGTTCGACTCCATCTAAATTTAGTTATATTACACTAAATACCAAAAATAGACGAAACCAGCCAGAATGTCGTTTCATTTCAGTTCTCTCCTTTTTGTCGCGCATTTAAATGTGCACAGATTCGTTCCGTTCAACGGCGCCTATGATCCGTTTGGTCACAGTGCGGGGGCCGACGAAAGCGACTAACAAAGCCGTAAAAAGCCAGATGGAGGCAAAACAAATAAAAACGAAAGGGCACCACATGATGAGCGATTCGCTAATCCGACAGCGGTGTGTTATTCAGGGGTCCAGAGTTAGGAGGAAGTAATTTAACACGCTGCAGGTTTGTCGAGCGAGACGTCATACATATTATGCATATCAATATCGTGTTACCTGCGCGCCAAGCCAGCGACAAGCAGCTGAACCTCATGCGAATTACGCTGACTATAGAATGTTCATAATTAAAGCGACCTGCTTAAAATGTGGGTGGCGTCGGGTGAAAAATTGTAAGCGAGTAGTGAAAAAAATTACTGCAAACTTACCACCACTTGGTTTTTAATATGTTAGTTTTTACGTAAACTTTCCAGTTTTATAAGTGAATAGAAGCAAATTAAATTACTTGACTTTAATGACCAAGATAATAGTAGCAGAGGCGTTGTGAATAAACTCGCGCGTGATGCATAAGTCGAATAACTTTGAATACCCTTTTTACCCATGTCTTTACTGGAAGGTATCAATTTACAACGCACCGAGCCGCACTTTCATGGCTAAAACTGTCCAGACTTCTTGAAAGGCTTCGTGTCAGTTTTATTCAATGTTGCACTTTTTCAACTTTCTGATTCATGCCAATTCATGCTATGAAAAACAGTATATTTTAATTTTTTTAAAGTTTTAGAATTATTAAATAATTATTATACTATTATTGCTGCTTAGCTGTGAATAGGATGCTTCATGAATTTTAAATTAAATTTTTTTATATATAAAGAAATATGCAGATGATTTTAGGTTTTAATTTCCTAACATTAGCTTTATTTTGCTTTTTTTTTATCATAATTATAAGTCTTTTCCGGTTACCCTGTGTTTTGATCTGGACGGTTGTACATTCAAATTACTAAATTGTTTCAAGATTGCGGCTGACATGTAGGTCGAGTCTCACTTCCTCTCAATCTTGTTTCAGGGCGCCCCGATGTAATAGACATTTTAGACAGCGAGGAAGCGATGACCCAAAGAGAAGATGCTCTCAAGTTTGAGACTGCGCGCATCAAAGCGCTGCAGGAAGAGCGACTGCACATCCAGAAGAAGACCTTCACCAAGTGGATCAACTCCTTCCTGTCAAAGGTAAAGTGGACTCTTGTGGGAAAAACGACAACGCCCGCTCCTTGTACCAAAGACACTTACTTGCATAAACAATGAATGAATGCAAAACTCTCCTTGCACAAGTATGGAGCGATTATTTTAATTTTGGGAGAGCAATTTATTTCTGCAGACCAATTTGCAAATTATGAAGCATTTCTCTAATTTTCCGCTTGGACTGTTGCATGCAATTATTCTCCGCATCTTCAACCGAACGAAACCGCTTTTTGGTATTATGTAAATTAGGCTGTCAAATTTTATGACGCTCCTGGCGTGTTTCTCGTTCTGAGGAGCTCTTTGTAGAGTTTCTTAAATTTCAATCATACAATAGTTATCGTGCTAAAAATCGTCTAATTTCGATTCGCAGGCTCGGATGGAGGTGGAGGAGCTCTTCACAGATTTATCAGACGGCAAACGACTGCTCAAGCTCCTCGAAATCATCTCTGGCGAACGCTTAGGGAAGCCGAATAATGGGCGTATGCGAGTGCACAAGATTGAAAATGTGAACAAGAGTCTCGCCTTCCTACATACAAAGGTGAGTTGTTTTGTTGAGCACTGACCTTCTAACCTCGGCGCATCGCTCTTATAAATTGGAGGTGCCTTTTTTAGAATTTCGACTCGGCGAGCGGGCCGGATCATTAATCCCATAAAAGTATACTTATGCATGCAAGCGGTTTTCAATGGCCACAGCAAAAGAATCGTGCTGCTGGTACGACTCTATTTGGCTCGGTGGCACAATGAGACGAGGCGAAGAAAAATTTTCGCCTCGGGAATTCCTTTACTATTGGATTTTAAGTCATTTAACGCGTTTTGCATTTTACTTTTTATTTGCGCGAAAATTTCGCCAGTTTTGCTCGGCTTATTTGATCTCCCTACTTCTGGAAGAAGCGGCGGCATTTGCAGTGCAAATAAATGTTCGGCATGTGAGTAAAAAAAATCAGCCCGCAAGGCACACAAGCAGAAAGAGAACCCGTCTCCCCTTTGTGAGCCAACACATGTTACACAAGCCGCTTTTTTTGCGTGCTGAGCAAACAGCGATTTTCATTTTCGTCCGTGTTATCACGCGCACATCGTCTCTCGGGCGACAATCTCTGAAAGAACTTATCAGTCGCAATGCAAATAAATCAATACAGGCGAGCCAGCCTGTTTTTTTTATTTATTTTTTACCTTCGACCGCAAATTGTTTCCGGCCCAATGAATTCCCTTTCTCCCTTTATTAGCATATACATGCACGCATTCCGCCGCCTAACAAGAGCATTATTCCGTGCCCTGCTGCCGGTGCATTGAATGCATTGTTCATTTATATTTCAATAAAACTAATGCACCGTTCGTTGGTCGACCACTTTCAAAATGCTAATTGCTGCCGCAGGTGAGACTCGAGAGTATTGGAGCTGAGGACATTGTGGACGGGAACCCGAGACTCATCCTCGGCCTTATCTGGACCATCATCCTCAGATTCCAGATTCAAGAGATCGAAATAGAAGTTGTAAGTGAAAATCAATCTTGTAATGAGTCACTCAGCAGACTGACGCGTGAATGACTAATTAATAGGAGGAGGACAATGAATCAAGTGAAAAGAGATCCGCCAAGGACGCACTCTTGCTGTGGTGCCAGAGAAAGACGTCAGGTTACCCCGGAGTCAATATTCAAGATTTTTCATGTGAGTCTCGTGCATATCACATGTTTTCATTGAACGCTTGGGTAAATAGTTTGAAACCCTATAAGTGCAATGGAAGCCATACGTCTTCAGACATTACTGGCTTGTGATCCCAACATGGAAAAAAGAACCAGAATGCACCTTAATTAGTGCATATTGCAAACTGAAACTATTTCACCCTTGGGTTGAATGCAATAAAGAATAAATCTTTAAAAATAATCATTTTGAATTTGCTTTTTTAGCCTCATGGCGTTCTGGTTTGGGCTTCAACGCGCTTATCCATTCGCACAGACCGGATCTGATTGATTTCAACAAATTATCGCCGGGCAAGCACATCGACAACCTAAACTATGCCTTTGATGTGGCGCAAAACGAATTGGGCGTGCCAAGACTGCTCGATGCTGAAGGTAATTTTAATCTAAATCACCCTTCCTTGCACGAATAACTCATAAATTTCTGCAGACATCGACACCCACCGACCTGATGAAAAATCTGTCCTCACGTATGTTGCCTCCTATTACCACACATTTGCCAGGATGAAGACGGAGATGAAGTCTGGCAAGAGAATAGCCAACGTAATTAATCATCACTCAAAAAAATATGTAATTACTTTAAAATTTGCCTAATCACTCTGTAGATCCTTGGCCAAGTGCTTGACTCGGAAAAAAGGAAGGCTCGCTATGAGCTCTTGAGTACAAATCTCTTAGATTGGATCAGGACAAAAATTGCAGAACTAAATGATCATGCATTCCCAAACTCTCTGGAGGGCACACAAAGCTTGATGCTTGCTTTCAAGCAGTACAGAACACTGGAAAAGCCACTCAAGTATGTTGAAAAAAAATCCTTCTGACCACAATATAATTATTTTTGTTAACAGGTACCTCGAATTGAATGAAATTGAAATGTTGCACTTCCATATCAACACGCAGCTGAAATCGCTATCACAGCCATTATTTGTTCCTCTGGATGGGCAGCTAATCCAGGACCTACAAAGAGCCTGGGAAAACCTTGAAAAGGCCGAAAATAGAAGAGAGTCGGCTCTCAGGACAGAGTTACAACGTCAAGAGAGATTAGAGCAGCTAGCATACAAATTTGAGAGAAAGGTACCTCATTTTTTCTACCTTCCTAATACTAATTTTTGTATTGCAGAGGATTTTACGAGATGGCTACTTAAAGGAGATGATCCAAGTCCTTTCTGACCCTCGCTATGGGTCAAATTTAGCTCAAGTTGATGCCACAGTGAAAAAACACGAGGCCATAAGTGCAGACATTCATGCCAGGGTTTGTTTTGAATTTTGATTATTGTATGCATTTCCTGAAGTCCACAATTACAGGAGGAAAGATTTAATGATTTGACAAACATGGCTGAAGAGCTTGTCAAAGAAAATTACCATGGCTGTGAAAACGTTGTTGAAAAGGAGCAAGAGGTTATGAAGAGGTGGAAAGATCTGCTCTCCCTCCTGGATAAACACAAGACTTCTTTAACAACTATGTCGTGGTTGATGTCCACCTTAAGAGAAATTGACACATTAATCGGAACTATTGATGAGCTTGCGGTAACTTCGACGACCCTAGCTTAAAGTCAGTAAGTCAATGAATAATCTCATTACAGGTCAGCTTCCTGAGCAACGAGGTTGGAAATCACTTAATTGCAGTGGAGGATTTGCTGCAGATCCATGCACTCAGTGAACTGCAAGTAAATTCTATTGGAGAAGCTCAGAGAAAGCTTCATCGTCAGTCCCAGAACTTCCTTGCCTCGGGACACAAGGAGGCGCCAGTCTTACAGAAAAGGCTGAAGCAGTTTGACGCTGCGTATGTTAGACTACAAGAACAGATGGCCCATCGTAGGAGTCGTCTGGAAGATGCCAGAACCTTTTTCCAGTTTATCCAAGACCACGAGGAAGAGGAAGGATGGATAATTGAAAAGGGAAGGATTTGCCAGGCAGAGGTCACAGCCAAAGATTTGAGAGCGGTTCTTAGCTTGCAGCAAAAGCATAAGGTAAAGTGAATTATTATATTAAACATTTCAATGCTCAGGCTATTTGTCCAGGCTCTCCAAGCGGAAATGAAAGCCAGAAGGCCAAAGTCGGAACAATTGGTTTCTGCAGGAAAACGGCTGGTCACTGACAACCATCCAATGAGCTCTGAAATCGTGTCTAGGACGCAGGCCCTACATGAATTGTGGAGCAACCTTGAGCAGCTTGCTGCTCTGAAAAGTGCCAAATTAGAAGATGCGGCAAAGGCTTACCAGTTCTACGCTGATGCCAATGAAGCAGAATCTTGGCTGAAAGAGCGCCAAGCTCTGGTAGAATCAAGAGATTTGGGACAGGACGAGCCTAGTTCACAAGCCCTTCTCCAAAGGCACAAGGACCTTGAGGGCGAGCTTAGTGCATATCAAGGTGATGTAGACACCTTAAATGCCCAGGCAGAGGCCCTACTTTCTGCTGGAATCACCAAGCTAGAGGTAAAATTGGAGCCTTAAAAAAGAGTAAAAGGTTATGTGATAAAAATTTTCTTAGCTTTTGATGCCAAGTGAAATGGAGCCTGAGAAAATTGTTGAGGAGTGGACTCAAGAAGTCAGAACTGTGCCACAAGAAGTATGGGTTGAGGAAGAAATTGAAAAAATAGAACCTAAAACTGTACTCGAGCAACGTTCAGTGCCACAAGTTAAATCCTTGTACCCATTTAGTGGACAAGGAATGTCAATGGTTAAGGGAGAGGTGGGTAAATAAATTTAGGTTTCGACCTTAATTTTATTGAAATATTTAGCTGATGTTCCTATTGGAAAAAACAAATGGTGACTGGTGGCATGTGCGAAGAGCCGGAGGTCAAGACGGTTTTGTCCCTGCCAATTACGTACAGGAAGTTGAACCTAAAATCATTCAGGTTCAGGTTAGACGCCCTGAGAAGGTGAAAATCAAACAGAAGGTGAAGAAGATCCAAATGGTACAACAAACTGTGCCTGTTCGTAAACAAGTAAAACAACCTCGTAAGTACATTTTCATCATGTTTTACTTTAATTTATAAAATTCAACGATACAGCTCGACCAAAACGGAGATCATCAGTTGAGGATGCAGGTGTTGAAAAACGGCAGAAAAAGATCAATGACACATACAGTAAGCTTCAAGAGCAAGCCAAAAAGCGCAGAGTTCTATTAGAGGATGCAATTCGACTGTACGGCTTCTACAGAGAATGCGACTCTTTTGAAAAGTGGATGAAGGACTGTGAGAAGATGCTCAACAGTGAAGAGCCTTCTGACAATGTTGATGCCGCTCGAAGGCAGTACGAGAAGTTCCTCACAGACATGAGCGCCAGTGGACGCAGATTAGAGGACATTGACAAAGCAGTCAAAGAGTTTGCCGCTCAAGGACATAGCAGTTTGACTGATATTAAGGCCAGACAGAGACAGATCCATTCATTGTGGGACCATCTCAACAAGCTAAGAGCAGAGCGAGAGAAGAGTCTGGAGGGAGCTTCCAGCGTTGAACTCTTTAGGTTAGTTTTTGTTTGTAATTGAGAATTTTTTAACCAAATTAGTAACAAAAATTTATTAAAAATGTAAAGTAAATTTATCAGTTTGTATAAAAATTTAGTAACAAAAATAATTTAAATAATATTTTAATTTTTTATTTCTATCAATATGATTAATTATTAAAAATATTTAATAATTAATTTTAATAATAACTTTAAAATTTGAAGGCGAACTTGCGAAGAAGCAAAAGACTGGATGGTTGAGAAAATGACTCAGTTGGATTCTGATGAGCTTGGACCAGATTTGAAAACTGTTCAAGCGTTGCAAAGACGACATGGCAACCTTGAAAGAGAGTTGGCCCCTGTGCAAGACAAGGTTGAAAGGGTCAACCTTTTAGCTGCGTCTGTCAAGAACAACTATCCTAATGAGAAGGAAAATGTCAATGCTAGGCAGAAAGAAATTCAGAGTCTTTGGGAGAATGTTAAGACAAAAGCCTTAGAAAGGCGAACAAGGCTTGAAGATGCTGTGGGTCAGCAAATCTTCATCAACAGCTCTAAAAACCTGCTTGGCTGGCTCAGTGGCGTATGTTTTGTATAACTTATTTGTTTTAATAATACTAAAATTCTTTTTTTTTTTTCAGACGAAAGCAAAGCTGAAAGCCGAGGAGCCTGCAAAAGATGTTCAGACAGCTCAGAATTTGATCAAAGAGCACAAAGACATTCAAGACGACATCCAAGCTCACAAAGACGAGTTTGTGGAAGTCTGCAAACTTGGACGTCAGTTGATGGCCAGGCCCAACAGTGAAAGAGCCCTGATTCAAGACTTCATTGCCAGATTAAATGAGGGTCTTGCTGGAGCTCAAGATGACTGGGCAGCAAAGCAAAACCGCCTGCAACAGGGTCTGGCTTTGGCTCAGTTCAACAGGGAAGCTGACCAGATTGACGCCAATACTAAAAGCCACGAAGAGTTTCTTAAGTTCCCACAGCTTGGTGGCAATATTGACGACGTTGAAGCCCTTCTGAGGCAGCACGAAGATTTTGAAAACAAGCTGACGGCTCAAGAAGAGAGACTAAAGAATTTTGCAGTCGCAGCTGAAAAACTGGCAAGTGAATTTTTTCATGTAAAATTATAATTTTTAATTTGGGTCATTTTAGGTTGATGGAGATCACTATGACAAAGACTACATAAAAAATAGGAAAAATGAAGTTGTTGCAAGAAGAGCAAAAGTAAGACAACTCGCCAATGAGAGACGAGATGCACTATTAGCGTCCAGACGATTCCAACAGTTCTCTGGAGATGCTGATGAGCTCCGAGGGTGGCTTCAAGACAAACTCAAAACTGCCAAAGATGAAAACTTCAGAGAGCTTGCCAATCTTGAACGCAAACTTCAGAAGCATGAAGCTTTTGAGAGAGAACTGCGTTCCAATCACAACCGAATGAGAGACCTCAACAAAACGGGTGACGCTCTAACTGCAGAAGGCAACTACAGATCTGCCGACGTAAAAAACGTCTTGTCAGAACTAAATCAAAAGTGGGATGAACTGATGAAGATTTCTGCCGACAAGGGTCGTAAATTGAGACAGGCAGCTGCTCAGCACAGTTATAACAGGACTCTGGAAGATGCCAGAATCCACTTGGACCAAATCGAAAGCAGTCTACGGTCGCAAGAACTTGGAACTGACTTGAGAAGCTGCAAAGAACTGCTAAAGAAGCACCAGGCTGTCGAAAGTGAAATCTCCCAATGGCAAGGCAAACTGACTGAGGTCAGCAGCTTGGGACAAGAGATGGCTCATGAGGTAATTAATTTGTTTTAATTTAATGTCTTTTGTTATATCGATTGTTTTTTAAGGGCCACTTTGACGCTGATAATATATTGAAGTCCAGCAAAAAATGTGCAGACAGGCTAGAAGCTCTGAGAGAGCCAGCCAGGAAACGTCGCCAGGAACTGGAAGAAAGTTTAAAGTACCACAAGTTCAAATTTGAGTTAGATGCTGAAAGACAGTGGATCCAAGAACACATGGTCTCTGCTAACGCCCAGCCCTCAGTGGGCAGTCTGTATGAAGCTCAAAGTGCCCACAAGAAGCATGCCAAACTCAAAGCTGAAGTGTCGGGTCATGGACCTCACATTGAGAAAACCTTGGCGTCAGGTGCAGTGCTTGCTCAACAGCCTCATCCTGAAGCTGCCAAAGTTGGAGAGCTTTGCGCTGAGTTGTCTAGCTTGTGGGAGAAACTGAACGAGCAAACGGCCAAACGTGGTCGAGAGCTAGATTTGGCCCTGAAAGCTCAGCAATACTTGTTTGAGGCACAAGAGGTTGAGAACTGGCTTTCGGAAAAGGCTGACATGCTTAATTCTACTGACTTTGGACGAGACAGAGATGCCACTACAAAACTCCTCACAAAACACAAGGCTCTTGAGTTGCAGCTGGACTCTTATGATGGCATAATATCGGAAATGTCAAGGACTGCTGGAGCAATGGTTTCAGCAAATCACCCAGACTCAAAGATAATCAAAGTGAGTTTAAATGGACATTTTAAAAAGCCCTACTATAATCACAATAATTGCAGGAGCGGCAAGAAGCACTTTCCAGGCAGCTGCAACTCCTGATGAAACAAGGGAGAGCTAGGCAAAGCAAACTGGTTGAGTCTCTTTGTGTGCACGAATACTTTGCGGAGAGTGCAGAGTTTGAGCAGTATGTCAAGGACAATGAACAAAATGCACTTTCAGAGGACTACGGCTCAGACTATGAGCATTTGCTGGTAATTTGTTAAAAAAAATTAATGTGCCAGTATTTTTATAAATAAAAAACTTCAGCTTCTGCAAGCAAGATTCGATGATTTCCGACACAGACTTCAAGGAGGTGCGGAAAGATTTAAATTGTGCGAAGAACTTGCTCGCAAACTTAAGTCTATCGAGGGACCTGTCTCAGCCGACATAGAAAGCAAACAAACTCAACTTAGGTATTTTGTAATTAAATTATTAAATTAATTGCTCACTTGAAATCGTACAGCGAATCGTGGAACCGATTGCTCGCTCTTGTAGAAACCCGGGAGCAAAAATTGGCAGCTGCAGGTGAAATCCACAGATTCCACAGAGATGTTGCCGAAGCTTTAGCCAGAATTCAAGAAAAATCAGCAGCGATTCCTGAGGATAAGGGAAAAGATCTGAACTCTGTACTTGCCCTCATTAGAAGGCACGAAGGATTTGAAAATGACCTTGTGGCTTTGGAAGCACAACTTCAAGTGCTCGTAGAGGATGCAGCTCGACTTACAACCCTTTACCCTGGAAACAATGCCAAACACATTTCTGACCAGCAAGCAATTGTAATTGAATCATGGAATGATCTGCAAAGCCAAAGTTTGGCTCGTCGCGAGGAACTTGGGGCCGCTTGCGATCTTCAGAGATTCCTCACACAAGCCCGCTCGCTCATGAGCTGGTCGACTGGACTGCGTGCTACTTTGCTAGCCGAAGAAAAAGTTAGTGACGCAGCTGGTGCTCAGGCATTAAAAGGTAGTGCTTATTGGAGAAGTTGTAGTAAATTTAAATATTTAAACTTTCACAGCTCAACATGAGGCCATCAAGTCTGAAATTGAAGCAAGGGAAGACAACTTTAGAGCTATTGTTGAGACAGGGGAGGCTCTTGCTCAAGGTGGCCACAGTCAAGCTCAGGAAATCCAAGAGCGGCTCCAAGCCCTTCTGGAAGAACGCCAAAAACTGCACACTGCATGGCAGCAAAAGAAGGTCTATCTGGACCAACTAATTGATCTTCACTTCTTCCTCAGAGATGCTAAGCAACTTGAAACTTTGAGTTCAGCCCAAGAGGTAAAACAAAATAATTTAAACCTTAATTTCTTACTTACATGTTTTATTTCCTCTCAGGTTGCATTGCAAAGTTCAGAAGCAGATGGGTCTGTTGAAGAGGTCTCTAGTGCTGCAAAGAAACATGAATCGTTTGAAAAATTGCTGGCAGCACAGGATGAGAAATTTGTGTCCCTCAACGACCACTGCCAAAAACTGACGGCCCAAAATCACTTTGACAGTGAAAATATTGGCAGCAGGCTCAAAGCTGTTTTGGCCAAGAGAAAGAAGGTCAAGGATTTGAGCGCTGAAAAGAAACATCGACTTCAAGAAGCTCTCCTACATGCTCAGTTTGTCAGAGATACTAACGAAGTATAATTTGAAAAGAAATAAAATGCCCAAAATTTTAAATGACACATTCCTTTTCAATGTAGGCAGAGGTCTGGATTGCTGAAAAAATGAAGGCTTTGGAAACACAGGCTAATTTGACGCAAGTGCCTGACTTGGAAACAAAAATTAAACGACTTCAAAAGCACCAAGCTTTCCAGTCTGAGCTCAAACAGCATCAAACTCAGATCAACTCTATCACGAATAATGGTAAAATCTTTATTCTATTTTATTAGCAATGTTTTAAGGTATTCCATCTCTAGCTAATACGCTGATGCAAAGAAAACACAAGCACTCAAGAGATGTTCGAGCCCAGTTGGACGGTTTGCTCAGCAAGTGGAAGGCACTTCTCCAAGAAGCAGCCAACCAAGGCCGCGGACTTGAAGAAGCGCAGGACATCCTAGAGTTCAACTTGCAAACTGACAAGATTGAAGCATGGATTAGAGACAAGGTAAAAATAATACAATTTTTTTACAATAGAGATTACATATTTTTATAGGAACTGCTTGTGAGCGCCCAGGACACTGGTCGAGACTATGAGCACTGCTCATCTCTTCAGCGCAGATTAGATGATGTTGACTCTGATATGAAAATGGATGACGAACGATTAAAGAATGTCAGCCAGCTTGCTGATAAAATCGTTACCCAGGGATCCCAAACAACTCCCATCAAACAAAGAAAGGATCAACTTATTTCAAAGTACTTCTTTATTTACCCTTCATTAAAATCTTTATTAATAAAATATATCCTCAATCTAGATGGAAGGGACTGCAAGGAGCACTTAGTCAGTTCAGATCAAGACTGGGTGATGCCCTTGAAGTGCATGCCCTGGCCAGGGATGTTGCTGATACTGTGGCTCGTACCAATGAAAAGGCTGCTTTGCTCAGCCTCAGTGCATCAACCGCCGATACTGCCTCTTTGCAAGCAACAGAGTTGAGAAAGAGGAAGCACAAGGCCCTCCTCAGAGATGTTTCTGCAATTGAGGCCAAGAAGAAGGAGCACGAAAGCGAAGGCCGACGCTTGTCCAACAAGTTCCCAGATCACGCAGGCACAGTTCGCACCCACCTATCCACCCTTGAGACTGCTTGGGAGGGTCTGCAGAGCAAGTTGAGTGAAAGCCAGACACAGCTTGAAGCAACCCTGACCAAACACCAGTTCTACTCTCAGCTGAGAGACTTGGAAGCTTGGGCTGCGCACATGGCTAAAGAATTTGATACGGAAGAGCTACCACAAAATACTGCGTCAGCCGAACACTTTTTGCAACAGCATAGTGACAGAAAGGTAAAATAATTAATTTGTAGTTTTGGCAATTTAACTAAATAATTTTTTAGGCTGAGATTGATGGCCGACAAGAAGCATTTAGGAGTCTTCGTGAATTTGGCCAGAAGCTTGGAATGGAGGAAGAGCTGCCGCATATTGAAGAAGTCAGGCTTAGTCTTAGCTCAGCATGGGAAGCAAGACGCCTTAGACTCCAAGAAGCCCTTCAGCTGCAGAAGTTCAAAGAAATGGCAGAAAATGCAGAGTCCTGGCTAGCCAGCAAGGAAGCATTCTTGGCGTATGATGACTTGGGAGATTCTTTGGCAAGCGTCGAAGCTCTGTTGAGAAAGCACGAAGCCTTTGAAAAGACCTTGAGTGCTCAAGTTGCCAAAGTATCTGAACTGGAGAAACTGGCTCGAGATATGAGCACGGCGGGTCACTTTGATTCAGAGGCTGTTCAGCAGAGAGTTCAGACTGTCTGCAAGAGGAGGGAGAAGCTTTGTGAAACGTCAGCTTTGCGAAAGAAGCGCCTCCTAGAGTCCAAAGATTTGCAAATGTTCCTACGAAGCCTCTATGAAGTTGACAGCTGGCTTAATCAGAAACTCCAAGTTGCAAGCGACGAAAACTATCGTGATCAAGTCAATTTGACAAGCAAGATCCAACGGCACCAAGCATTTGAAGCTGAGCTTGCTGCTAACAAAGACGGCCATGCCTCAGTGTCTAGAGAAGGAGAAGCACTTGTTGCTCAAGGGCATTTTGCATCCATGGAGATCCAAAGCCAACTAGCAGAAATCGATGCCAAATGGAGACGCCTGTTGGCTGAGTCGGAAACAAAGCGCATCCGACTGAAGGAAGCATATCAGGTACAAACTAAAAGATTGTTACATACAGATGTGGTGTTCTATATTTTTTTTAACTTTAGGCTCTGCTCCTTGAGCGTTCTCTTGGCGAGTTGGAAAGTTGGCTTGAGGACTTTGAAGTTCAGCTTCAGAGTGAAGATCACGGAAGTGACCTAAGTGCTGCAAATTCATTGGTCAGAAAGCATGCAGCCCTCACTCAGGACTACTGGGCTAAAAATAATGACCTGGCTGAGCTGAAGGCAAACCCACAGCATGCTGCTCTGTTGCGAGACAGTCATTTGGCTGACGCATTGTCTGCTAGAGTTGAAGCACTTGGCTTAAAGTAAGTTGCAACTTATTCATATTTTCCTGAATAAATTTTTTAAATAAAAATTTTTGTGTCAGGTTCACTGCTTTGCAAGACTCTTTACAAATAAGAAAGGAGAATCTCGACGATTCCCAAGCTTTGCACCAACTGCTAAGAGACGTTGATGAGCAAATAGTTTGGCTAAATGAAAAAACACCCTTGGCGTCTTCGGAAGAGTTGGGAACAAGTTTGGATGAAGTCAAAGCTCTCCAAAGAAAGCACCAGGTAAAAATATAAATTCAGCAAAAAAGTTCAAAATAAATAAATCTAACTTATCACAGGCACTGGATGCTGAAATTGCGTACAGAGAGCAACTGATAAGAGGAATGATTGGTAGAGGCCAATCGCACATCAAAGGTGGCCACTTTGCCTCGCCCCAGATAGAGAAAGCCATAAATATCTTGCTAGAAGGCCTCAACCAGCTCAAAGATGCTGCAAGTCTGAGAAAACTCAGATTACAAGATGCTCTTGAAGCCCAAATGGTAGAAAGTCTATATACCATAGCAAGTCATTATTAAAAATAATTCTTTTTTCAGTTCTATTCAAGAGCCTCGGAGGTCGAGCAGTGGGTCAAGGACAGGCTACCTTCAGCTACATCACCGGACTTTGGAAAGGACGAGGATGCTGTTGATACAAATTTGAAAAAGTTGGATGCTTTATTGAGGGATATCCACGAGTACACCGAGTCTGTCAACAACCTCGACAAGCTGTGCATGGCTTTGCTTGAGAGGAACCACTTCGATGAAGAACGCATCAAGCTAAGAATGAAGCAAATACAAGGAAAGTTTGAAGATCTTCGCAACAAAGCTCAGCAAAGACAAAAGCTGCTTGAGTCTGCCAAAGTGGCCCACCAATTCCTCAGAGAAGCAAGTGAATTGGAGGAGTTCCTTAATGATCAAATGCAGGTTGCTGCCTCTGAAGAGTACGGCAATGACATTGAACACGTCGAGCTGCTCATACAGAAGTTTGACTCCTTCCTTTCAAATCTTCATGCAGAGGAGGCCAGAGTAACTTCTCTGAGGTATATTACTTAACTAATTTCTTGAATTTTATTGGAAACTTATTTTAACTCTATTTTACAGCACTGCTGCTAAGAAAGGCCTATCAAAATCGGCCAACAATGCTGACAGAGCCAAGGTTGAGGCCAAGCTGGAAGACGTGATGACCCTATATCAAGACTTAAAAGAGTTGGCCGCTGCTCGACAAGAAGCTCTTGCTGGGGCCAAACAAGTTCACATTTTTGACCGAACAGCTGACGAGACAATCGCTTGGGCACAAGAAAAGACGTCGGCTATGTATGCCGAGGGCTATGGCCACGACCTCGAGTCCATCCAAGCTCTTGTCAGAAAACACCAAGGTTATGAAAGAGACATGGAAGCACTCAAATCACAAGTCGACACAGTGAACTCAGAAGCGGCCCGACTCAGCACCTTGTTCCCCGACGCCAAAGAGCACATTGATGCAAAGAAAGAAGAGCTCAATGATGCATTTGTTGAGCTTCAAACTGAAGCCAAGCTTCGATGCGAGAAGCTGCAGCAGGCTGAAAAACTTCAGGCATACTTTGATGAATACAGAGATCTAATGTAATAGAATCCTTAATCTTTTGCCAAATTATAAAAAAAAAAATTATTTACAGGGCTTGGATAAATGAAATGATGGCAAAAATAACATCACCCGAGTTAGCTGCAGATGTGCCAGGAGCTGAATTGCTCATTTCAAGACATGAAGAGTACCAGCAAGAAATGAGTTCCAGAAACGAAGCCTTTGCCGATTTCTTTGACACTGGAAATAAGTTGATTGAGCAGGTAAATTTACTTTCAATTAGACTCTTGAAGTTTTTTTACTTCTTTTTTTGCATGCATTCATTGTTTAAGGATTACGGGGTAAGAAATAGACAGATAGAGCTTTCTTTCTCAAATTAGATCCACTTCAATTTTGTACTAAAAAGTAAATCTAATTTTCTTTTTTTAACAGGGACACTTCCTGTCCAGTGAGATTAGAGAGAGGCTTTCAGTTTTGGAGACAAGGCGCAAACTTTTGGTTGAAACTTGGGCAAGACGGAAACACATTTACGAGCAGAACCTTGACACACAGGTATTTGTCTGCACTGGTGAGATAAAAGTAAAATTACTAAACCTCCTATTTTAGATCTTCAAACGTGATGCTGAAATGTGTGAAGCCTGGCTTAGTGCTCGAGAGCCTGTCCTTCATGATCCCGACCTTGGAGAGTCTATCCCGGAGGTCGAGGAGCTGATCAGAAAGCACGAAGACTTTGAAAAAACTGTCGAAGCACAGGAAGACAAGTTTAATGCTTTGAAGAGAATAACTTTGGTAAGAATATAATACAAATTTAAAGATGCCTTCTAAGCTGTGTTTCAGCTGGAACAAGAGTTCACAAAGCAAAAGGAAGAGGAGGAAGAGGCCAAAAAGGCAGAGAAGGAGAGAGCAGATAGAGAAAGACAGGAGTCTCGGAAGAGGGCTGAAATACAGAAAATCACAGAACAGAGGCGCAAAGAGGATGACAGGAGACGTGCTCAGGAAATGCGAAATGGACAAGACCACTACCCACCAGCCATTCAGGAGCCTAGGTACTGTGTTTTTTTATGCCAGGATAAAAATTATGTTCATTCCAATGTTACAGCCAAGAGTCAGGTGGTTTTGGATTGAGCAAAAGTGGCAGCTTTACACAGCTTTTCAACCAGCGTCGGGCCACAGGTATGAAACTCTTATCTTTTCTTCCCTTTCTAACCTTACTAACACTTTCATCTTATTTCATTTCCTCGTCCTCTTTTTCTTGCATGGAAATCATAAATGCACTCTTCACTCTTCAGATTTTGGCTTAGATACTCGATATGATTTTCGGTATAGATTTGGTTCTGAGAGACTCAGGCCTGCGTCAGGTACCAACATCTCGCATCCTTTTTCTCTGTCGTCTGTCCTGTTTACTGTCATTTTCTCAAATCTTAAAGATAAGATGCCAATATAAATTATATTTCTCTAGATATCAAACGTGCGGAGAGCATGAAGGTGGAAAAGAAGGCCAACCCTGTTCGACGAGTGCCTAGCTTCACAACAAGGAGAAGAACACAGAGCTTTAGAAGACCAGGCGCTGTCGACAGTCCTGGACCAGGCCCTGAAAATCTTCCACCAGTTGAAATTCGCGGCATATTGGACCGAAAGCATGAGTTGATGAGTGGAGGCAAAAGAGCAACAGTCAGATCATGGAAGTCATACTACACGGGTTTGTCGATAATCCAAAATCACAATTCTAAACTAAAGTTTAATCAATTTGCAGTTTTGTGTGGTCAGCTGTTGTGCTTCTTCAAGGACTTGGATGATTTCGTCCAGAGCAAAGCAGCCACCTCGCCTATCATCATTTACAAAGCAAAGTGTGAGAAGGCTGAAGATTATACCAAGAAGAAACATGTCTTCAGGCTAAGTGGCGCCGATGGTTCCGAGTACTTGTTCCTCGCCAGCACACAGAGCGAAATGGAGGACTGGATCAACAAAGTCAACTTCCACGCAGACCTGCCTCCAAATTTGCAACTGCTGAGTTACGAGGAAGCTGGAAAAGTAATTACTCTAAATTTCCATCAAGTAAATTACCATTATCAAATCACTTGTCAGAGTCCTGGTGGCAGACGAATGTCGATTGACTCTCAACAAAGTGCAGCCACAACAGGTGATGCTAGTAGCTCTGAAGACGAGGTTGATCACCATCATTTGCATCCAACATCTAATAACTCCAACCACGCATCAACTCAGAGACTCCAGGTAATAAACCACTATTATTTTCACCAAAGCTCTTACTGACCCGAATTATTTAGCCACCTTCTGAAAAGCCACCTGTGCCTCCAAGAGGACCATCCACACAGCGAAGCTCTGGTGAGTGGGCGCAGAGGAATACCCTTCCCGCTTCTTACCGGCCAGGTAAAATTTTCTCTTGACATTTAGGCTTTGTACAAAATGCTTCCTTTACTTATTTTAGATGGAGGATACGCTCCAGAGCCAACACCTAGATCTTCACTCAATTCCAGTCATGATGACGTTTGGTTGAGAAGACCAGATGAAGGAGGTCTGTATCTTTTTGATTGTTTTGGTTCGCTTCAATAATATGTTTGTGTCCGTCTAATTATGCTTTGAAAACTAGCAAATCTTGATTCTCATATCTCACTTTTGGTTACAATCATTTTCCTGCAGGACATGAGTATTACACATCTCATCATAACTTTTCTTATTACCAATATTATCACAGTGAGTGGCCAATATTTTAAAAGGCCAGATTTGTCTGTGTTGTCTGTAATAACGTAATAAGCATGGAATGTCAGCTAATTTAGATTATAATTAGTGCTTGTTTGCTTTACTTGTGCTTGACTTCTGCATATCTTTGTAGTGTTTGCACCACCCTTGCCATCATCAATGCCACCGCCTCCTGCCAGTCGTCAACCTTACCAAGCAGCCTACAATGGTGAGCTAATTATAAATGTTTGTTTCTAGCTTGCATTAAGCCGTGTTTGCATCATATTATTAGAGCAGTTTTGTTTTAGTTACATTAAATGCATGAACAGTGTTATAAAATTTTATCTTAAGTTGCCGTTGAAGTAAATTTAAAATTTTTAGTGTACGGAAATCTTCCTCAAGGCCGCCCAACTAGTGTACCTGCTTACCCACCTAACTTGAACCCAAGCCAAGGCCCATCAAGGAACTCCTCCTCGGAATACCCACCTTCCGAAAATGGAGACTCTTCCAGCAAAAAGTCCGAAAAGAAGCAAAACGCGTTGACCAGTTTGTTCAGGAAGAAAAAGGCAACTCACCTCTAAAACGCATACCTCCGTTTATGAAGCATCTGCTTCTGTGTGTTATGTTTCAGTACAGTCAATACCACCATAAATAATCATTCGATCCTCCGACATCTCTCATTAAAATACGTATATATATATGCAATATTCTAGACTCTATTTTAAGCGAGTCTTATTTTGGTGAAGTAAGCTTTTTGTGTAATATAGATAGTTTTGGTAGGAGTGAATAACTGTCAGAAAGAAGCACTTAACCAACGAATGAATGCAATGTTGTACAATGTGTCTATTATTATACTGTACTACATTATTGCGAAATGTATTATTATCGTCTAGAAAAGTTTAATTTATTGTTAAAAGTTTCACTGTTGTTAGCTTACAATTGCTTAGTGGCCATATTTTTCTCTTATATACAATTTACTTTACTCTTTACAATGTTGATTTGAATTTTTTTTCCCATAAATAAATTAGGGTAACCGGGATCAAACTATAATTTGATGTGTTTAGTCACAACACAAAAAATTTCGGGGCCAATTTTCAAAATGATTCACATTATATCTGTAAATAAAATACTGATCACTTGAAATAAAGTAATATACCATAATATAAAAAAAACCTCCATTATTCTTCTCTACCATGGTCAAATTATAAATTTATTAATTTTATTTGTATCTACCAAGGGCAGAATTCTATCAAATTTTACTCATTTCTCATTGACAGAGTAAATTTTAAAAATAGAGCGCATTAAAAATTAGTTTATTGAAAAATGATTATTTACTACTACTATTAGATTTTATATCTCAGCATGAGAATATTCCCAATACAATTTTTTCAACAGGTTTCAACACTAAGAATAATATTATGCATCAAATTTTTCATAAAATATGATCAAATCGATATATCTGTGTATCTTATGCAAAAACATATTTTGTCCATGCATACAGAAAATATGGGAAGCTTAGTCAAATATGTTAAAACACAGTGGCGCAAGGGCACGGGATCATTGGTGTATAAAGAAAATCCTTATTTTTTTGCTTTTTGATGAAAAGTCAATAGCAGAGTAAAAAAAATCAGTGGTAAAATAATTAATTTCCAATCTTTGTTCTATTTTTTAAGTAGGATATACTCAATTAAAATTTCAGTAGCTGCACAGCATAGGAAGAAATTAGAAATTATGTATATTATCAAAACAATGACTCGGCTCTGCGTTGGTCATCAAATTTTTTTTCCAGACCAACCACTCCACTATTAATGTTTAAATTTCTCGTCTCGGCACTGACGGCACTGCAGGACAGTTTCGATCGAGCCGAGCCACGCCGGACAAGGGACAAGTGCACTCGGCGTGCTTGTTGTGGCTATAGGAGCAAAGATATTCAATATTTTGTGAATTTGGGAAAACCCGTTATTCTGGGAAAATTAAGTCCTCAAAATTTTTAATTGAAAATTTAGGGAGAGGAGGCTCTTGTTGACCCCAACATAACATACTAAAAAATTAGAATGGTATTCTTTTAACTTTGTATCGCTCGTAACAAAAGTGGTTAATTCTATCAACAAAATGCCAATTTTTATTTATCTTGACCAATAAAAATTTCCTTATAAAAAATATATGGTTACAAAAATTTACCCTTCTCATTTTTCATTTATCCGTTCTTCCTCAATGTTAATAAAGTGTTATTAATTGATACCAAAACTGCGATTGTTGCGGCCAACGGAAATTTCTTTTTGATTGTTGCTAAGAATTTGTTCAAAATTCGTCAGAACTATGGATATTAGAAGGTGGATTAGACAACAATCAGTTTTGGGCGTGTCTCAAAAATTTCTGTGCCGTGACGTCACAGTGAATCAACCAATCAAAGCCCAACAATCGAAAAAAGTGCAAATTGTTCACTGCAATTTGGTTGATCGCGACTTTGGTCACGTTAGATGGGCAAAATTTAATGAAAAATAATTTTAAAGAAGTAAAAATTTGCAAAATAAAACTTAAAGAGTTGCTTGATACGACCCTTTGATTAAAAATATTTAATTTGCACGGACACCTGAGATATAAAAGGGTTTGCTAGGAGTAGTGCCATTGGAAAAATAATTATTTTAGAAAAACAAACCTTATGGGAAAGTTGTAGCCAAAGACATGTTCTTTCTTTTCTCAATTGTAAAAAAGGCGTTGAAAATTTTTTTAAGTACCGAAAAATTGGAATAAAATAAAAAATTGTAATTTTCTACAAGAAATAATTTTTTTAGATTTTTTCTGAGATAGCCAATCGATTCAACATGTATTCATTAGTCTATGACTAAATTTTCATACAAAAATTCGCAGCCGTTACGAAATAACAGCTTAAACTCCAATGACACCTCTTTGGCTCTAAACATAAACACGGCCCGTTGAAGTATTTTAATTCTTATTTCATAACGGCTGCGAATTTTTGTATGAAAATTTAGTCATAGACTAATGAATACATGTTGAATCGATTGGCTATCTCAGAAAAAATCTAAAAAAATTATTTCTTGTAGAAAATTACAATTTTTTATTTTATTCCAATTTTTCGGTACTTAAAAAAATTTTCAACGCCTTTTTTACAATTGAGAAAAGAAAGAACATGTCTTTGGCTACAACTTTCCCATAAGGTTTGTTTTTCTAAAATAATTATTTTTCCAATGGCACTACTCCTAGCAAACCCTTTTATATCTCAGGTGTCCGTGCAAATTAAATATTTTTAATCAAAGGGTCGTATCAAGCAACTCTTTAAGTTTTATTTTGCAAATTTTTACTTCTTTAAAATTATTTTTCATTAAATTTTGCCCATCTAACGTGACCAAAGTCGCGATCAACCAAATTGCAGTGAACAATTTGCACTTTTTTCGATTGTTGGGCTCTGATTGGTTGATTCACTGTGACGTCACGGCACAGAAATTTGAGACACGCCCAAAACTGATTGTTGTCTAATCCACCTTCTAATATCCATAGTCAGAACGTTCCACCATGCCGTCTAGTCAAGTTCACAGTCGGCAGTTGATCGCGAATTCAATTGACAAAATTCCCAATTTTGAAAATTTTGCTTGGCTCTAAGACTTTCTGGCTCAAGGCGGATTGGCTGTGTTGGATGAGCGTCTTCGCCCATGGATTTGGAAAATGATGAAAAAGCTTCGAGTTGAAAGCCTTGCAGAGGTGACCCTGCGTGTTATACCACAAGAGGGAAGGCAACCCACGTGGGATCCACAGATTTTTAGACGGTCTGGCAGCGCGTCAAATCTACCTGTCAGAAGTGAAGCTCAAAAGCTTGTCTCCGAAGAGGAGCCCTCTAAACGTGCAGTTGAGGTCGTCCGCCTGCCCCCAGCGGTTTTGGTCTCGATCGAAATGAACGAAGCTGTAGACAATGCTAGAAGAGTGTTGAGATCGAAGAGGTGGTGAAGAAGCAGCAGCGGTTTTTGATTGAAGGAGACGAGCTTGAGGCCAGCTAAGGGTGGACAACTTGCTGGTTAAAATCAAGGTGAAAACAACAGAACCAGTTTTCCGTCCGCCTCCACCCAGGCACAAAAATCCATTTCTGCACATTCTTGGACAAATATATAATGCTCAACCCAAAACTCGCCGGCCGTTGAGGAGGCTCTTGAAGTCATTGTGGCGACCATTGCCGTGGAAAACAGCAGTGTTGAGATCGTCGACGAGCCAGCTGAAGAATGGGATTTTCAGGATGATATTGAGGAGATTCGTGCAGCCCGCCTCATCGCCTCAAGCATCTTTTTTTCCAGCCCCGCCAAAGATTGATGCCGACGACGTCGAGGGCGAGGGACTACGTGCAGCTCGGATCAAACGTTTCAAGAAAAATTAGGAAAGCAGGCATTAAAAATTGACGTACAGAAAAAATTCGTATTTTTTGTGAAATTTTCCTTTTTTTTATTGATAATTAATATCTTTCAGACTTCATACCATACTTTTCTTACTCTTTGTACCTGGAAAAAACTGGAAAAAATGCAACATTTTGATCAATAATATAATAATTATAATAACTGATCCAGGAAGCAACCAATACAATATTAAAAAACAAATTCAATATTTTCACAGAACACTTTTAACTGTGTCTGATTTATTAAATTGGTTGAAACAAAAAATTCTAGCTGCTCGGATCGCAATTGATTTATTAAATTCTGTACTAAAAATTAATTGTTAGCAATTACATATAGCTAATGTACCTTTCTAATTACTCATTGTTGCAATTAAATTTAATATAAAAAATCTGATCGAATGTTGACAAAAAAAAATTGAGAGAAATTCTCTGTTCATCGCGCTCAAGCATTTTGAAATTTTCTCCGAGCTTCTGCGGTGGTCGCTGGATAGCGCGGCGGTCGCGAATTCCTCGGCAGCGCAACTCGTTGAGTCCGGAGCAGTGTTTTGCTTGTGCGACGTCCGTCTGAGTTGTCGAGGAAAGAAGAAGGTTTATTTTTTCAAGAGCGCAGGCACACACAGAGAATATTCAGCTCGGACTGGAGTGAGTCAGCCATGTTAACCTAATGCCCAACAACTATTATGTGCATCGGCCGAGATAAGTCCAGAGTGCGCGTGTGAATTTGCGTTAGCCGAGCAGCAGCGAGGACAGCAAGTCTCAGTGGTGCAGTGACCAAAATTTGCAGCCGCCCGAAAAATGGATACCGACAACTTGAGCTGGGGCACCGAGCTGTGGGTGAGTACACCGCGAATCTTCGCACCAAAACATGCCGTCGGAGGCCGGGGTGGGGTTGCGGCGCGGGGCCCGCGGACCCCTGAACTCAGGGCGTCAGGTGCGACCGCCAAGGTCGACTGGCAACGCGTCCTCGGGCGAGAAGTTTTGGGGAAGGGAACCACTCCCTTGTTTGGTCATGCCGACCGTCCGCCTCCAAAGGTCGCCTTTATCCGATTTGAATTTGAAGAATTTGCGAAAATTCCGAATTTATTTTGACAGTTTTCATTAAAATTATGTTTATACAATTCGTTTATTCGCTTTAGCGGAAATGGTCTTTTTTTTAAAGATTTAGCAAAATTCTTGCTAGCGACGATGCCTTTTAATTCAACAGTTCCTTTTCGAAACTGAATTTGTAACAATGTGACCAAGAAACAACAATACATAATCAAATTCAGTTATATTTATTTACTATTTGAAATTTTATAATTTAAAAGAGAAATTTTAATATTTGTAGAAAATTATAAATCTTTTTCCATTTTAATTTTTTAAATTACCAATTATCTGATGAAAAATTGTGTATTTCACAGAATAATTATGTACTTGCAATACTTTCTTGTACCTTTGCAAATTGCTGCAATAATTGTAAAATGCCACTTACATACTTATTGCGGATCAGCTGTGACGTAAATCCATGACGTGTTTTTATTTTCACTTGGCATTCTTCGCAGCTGAGCAATTTTTCTCTTCACTGACATTAAAGCTAAAAATATCGAGAAGAATAAATCCATTTCCAATTTTTCACAGAAAACCACTTTTTGTGCGAGGATAATTGCCAGAAGCAAAATTGCCTCTTCGCGTGCGTGACCGCTTCTTGCTTTTTGACGCAAAAAGCGGCGACACATCGATCAAAACGAAAAGTGAACAATTGTCGAGAGAAAATCTGAAAGCTCGCTGCTTTTTCCTGCCCCTTTCCCCGCGGGTGAAATAACTTTTGTTTCTTTTTTTACCTCCGAAACGGTCCAGCGTGAATTGAACGGATCGACCGACGCTTGCCTGCGACCCCCTGAGCGATCAAACGAGTGGCCCTGAAAAGACCTGAGTCAAAAGAAAGGTTCGTACCTGCAGATGCCAAAGGTATTCGGCGGGCAGACATTGCGCGTGCACAGGTGGCGCCTCTTCTTTTAAATATTTTTTATCCAAGGAATTACTTAACGGAGGGTCAGAGTTCTATAAAAATTTATTAATTATTATCATTCAAATTTTTTCATTTTTTAACAGTCATTTTTTGTACAAAAGAATTAAAAAAAAACCTTTTTTCAAGGAATTTGTCGGGCTAAACAATTTCGTTATTATGATCACTTTTATAGTCTTTCAAAAGTGTCATTATTCATTCAGAGAAAAATTTGGAATAAGAAAATAACTGAATTTTTTATTTTTATGGTGATGAATTTCAATATTTAATAATCTTTATAATTCAGAATAAATAAATTTTTTATCCTTTTATACTAATTTGTAAAAATACTTCATTGTCAATAAATTCTCATGGAATGAAAAAATTTCACCTCTATGTGTAGTAAATATTTGCTAAAAATTTAAGATTGTCTTGAAACTTCAGATTTGTCAAATTTTTGGTGTTAAGAGAAGCTACAGTTTTGGGTGCTGGTAAACAAATTTTTATTTTATGATAAATAAGTAACCGCTCTCTTTATCATTGTATTTTGCCACCAAATGGAATCAGTGGCCGTAAATTTGAGGGTAAACGATGAGAACGGCTCAAAATGACGGAGCCAATTCTGAGAACTGAAACTGGAGCAGGTGCAAAGCACACAGGAAGTGGACGAATGGATGCGAGCCACACAGAAAATCATACTCGCGTGCTCGACCTAATGCTCACTTTTGTCGCGATCGATTCTGACACAGTAATAATAATGCACGCAAATAATGTTGCAAATAACACAATTATTTTTTTACGAACAAGACTATCAATTGAAAAATATGCATTAGAAATAATTCTAATTATATGAAAATATCTCATTTTTTCTCTGAAAATTGAATGAGGAATATTATTTAAAAATTTATTTTATAAATTGGAAATTTATATAATTCAAAAAATGTTTATAAAAATATATTCTCCCCATTACCAACAATTTATTATAAATTATAAAATATGCCATTATTCTAACACAATATTTTGTAGAGTTCCAGTTTCAAATTATCAAAATCAGTTGTACACATTTATATGCATTTTATTTTAACCGTGATAAAACCATTAAAATTAGCAAAAATAATTCTATAGCTGTTTATTTCTCTTGTAATTTAGTTTCTTAGCGTCTTTTTGACAACACATTCACTGATATCTCTCCTCTCTTCCTCTGGCTTGTGCTACTACCTCTCTTGCCGGTGTCGCTTTTGGTATAGAATGAAACGCAGAAATAGGTACGCGAATAATGTAGCAAATAATAAAGATTGTTAGCGCACATGACTTTCAGTCAGAGAAATCTTTTGATTGGAGCGTCATATTAAACTTTTTATTTTAAATCTGGCTGATATAGAAATCTTAATTCATATGTAAAGCAAAATTTCCAAATCCATAAAATTTAATTTTAATTACATTTAAATTGTGTTTATATGTATTAATCTACGTTCTAACTTAAAACTAGAAGTCAATGTCTAATAATTTATTTAGAATTGAATTAAATTGTTTTATCATATTAAAATCCAATGGAATGAAATTTTCTGTGCGTCAATTGCAACACTTTTGTTCCTTGTTTATGTACTGTGGAAGTGTTTGACGTTTGTCAATGACCCGCCACGTCTGCAGAAGGTCCGGACATCCTTTTCCAACCGCACGATTGTAATTCTTCAACGCCGCCAAATTTCCCCAGCCGTTTCAAAATCCACACATTAATTTGTGCAAACAAGAAATTATTCTGTTTGCTTTGAATACAATCGTGGTTTTGGCGTGCTCCGGAAAGTGAAGAAAGAAAGAAATAAACGAGTTGCAAAATTCAAGTTTCGCGGTTTCGCTCTTTCCCAGCCGCACATCACAATAGCCAGACGTCGGCCTGATCAAAATTCCACTCGGCTCCGACCAACTTTGCAGAATTAGTCGCTGCTTCATTTTGCGCCGCGTCCTCTCGTTTATTTTTTCGGTCTCTTCAACTTTTTTGTTCCGCCGGCCAGTCCATTGCATTTCCACAATGCATTATGCATAAGAGAATGCCAAAGTTTTATTTATCCACTTTTGCTGGCTTTGCGCGTGCCTCGTGGTAATTTAATAAGATCGCCGCGTCTTGCTCGGGGAAGCACTTTTGTCCGCGCAATTGTGGGCCATCTGGATTCTTGACTATTCGATTATTTATAACATTACTTTGCTTTATCGCAAAGCACGCAGTTCGATCCGCGGCAATGGAACCCTTGTTGGGTGCAGTCCCGACTCTTCAGAGGAAGACAAGTTTTTACAAAACCTGGAAACGACAAGTGAACGTGCGACTCAAGAGTGTTGAAATCTCAGACGCGGAAATTCAGTCCACGGTAAGAATTTATCATATCTGCAAATCAATAATTGATTTTGTTGATTAAAAAAAATATCAGAAGATATTCCAAATTTATATAAAAAAAATCGAATTTCAGTCGATTCCAAATCAGTATAAATTCTTTTTATTATTAAAAAATAATATTGTAATAAATTAAATCAAAATTTCAAATCCAAATCCATCTGTTTTGATGATAATGTAATGGAAATGTGTAAAATTTTGTTATATAAGGAATGTTTTCACGCTCGAATGACGTAAAAATCCACGTCCTTGATTCAAAATTATGATACAAAACGCACGATTCCTTGCCAAATGAATGTTGCCGCGATTACAAATATTCCGCCTTTTGCCGAGATAACATCTTTGAGCATCTCTCTATACTTTTACTTGGTGAGAAACGCGGATCGGCAATAAAAATTCCTAGCTCTCCGCACTCGAATTAATTAATCGTCCGCTCACACCAATTAATTAATGGAGTGTCAGAAAAACGAATGAACGAGGGAAACTGTCGCTGATGAATGGCCGGTAGGGAATAAAAAAGAAATCAGAATTAGGCCCCCTAGCAGAGGAGGTCCCGCATACAAACAATACTGTGTTTAATTTAAGATTGCGTCACTGAACTGACAGCGCTTAATTATATCAGTTTATCAGTGGATGTCGCAACTGCTGATCTTCCCGGGAGCGGCAAAACACGTCCCGAGATAGTTTAAAATGCATCTTGGAAAATAGTGCATTCCGAGTTCTCAATATGCTCTTATGGCCTTCCACTGCGGTCGAAGGAAGGAAGCACTTGCGGTGGAGCATTAGTTTGTGCTGCTTCAAGTAACTGAGATAAGGCGCGAGTTTTAATGGAGAATGTTGGATTAGTATATCATTTACAGTTCACAAACGTTACGGTCATAAATTTTAAATAAATTGAAACCTCATTTCATTCTAAACAGCTCAATTTAATAATTATAATCAACCTCCAAGTTAAAGTTTCAATTAATATTGACTTTCTAATTGAATGCATCAGTTTTTTAATTGTTATTGCTTAAAATAACGTAATACACTGGACATTATCAAGCGGACGTTTTCCTGCTCTTACTGGATTTTTCCCATTTTGCATGAAAACATCCAGTAGAAATTTAAAAAAAAATCTAGTGGTCTAAGGAAAACACAACTTCCTGATTAGCACACAGGAATTTTTCTGCATGGACTTTCCTGATGGTTAAAAGTCAAATTGAAAGATATCATAATCATTTTAGTTAAAACATTTTTAAAGTTAGAATGAAATTCTTTTGAGTTGTGCAATTGCAATAATTCCCATTGTATTCAAAGCGGTAACCAGAGCCACTGCGTTTGATCTTGACAGTGCTGCTGAAATAATTGCAAAGGAAGTGAGCTTTGCCGTCGCTGCTCATTGTGAGACAGTAAATGTCATTGAGGAATGCTCTCGATATCGCGTTTCACACAAGCAGCTTCCTTAATTTTTTCTCTCTTGCG